GATGTACGTAACCGAAGGTGGAAGACTTTTGCTGCAATGAGTAGTGAATGATGTGGCTATACAGAAACACGAATTGGACAGACATACATACATCACTAGTATCTGGTGTCGAAAACGGGAAATGGAGTTAACTGTGTGCACGGTTGAATGTTTTGGCCAATGACGTGTAGGACGATGGTGTGCGGTGGGTGCTCGCAATCCCAGAAGTGAAGTTTTCCTATCCTGTGCATTTGCAGTTTTTGTTTAATGAGGCTTGGCTATCGATTGCATTTGCTGCTGCTTGCTGTGCATTTGCTGTTGCTGTTTTGTTTCCGTATGCATGCATGCATGCACCGGTGAGAGGTTAGCGTAGCATAGCAGGACCGAGGGTCCAAGCAAGCTACAGATTTGCTTTTAACCACGATTACATAAGGAACCTTTACATTTTGTTTCCGTTGGTGGTCTCTACGTGTCAGTCAGTTGGTGGGTGGAAAGCCATTGCTTACTCCGGCCCAGCTGTGTGCTTCTCTGCCTGCTGTTCTAGTTCTAGGCTTTGCTGCTTGGTGTCGCCTGTGAGAGGAAAATCGAGTTTGGGAGGCCGCCGTGGTAGGCGGCGTGTGGGGTGTTGGGCACCGCTTCCAGAGGAGGCTTTTCCCTGCCCTGCGGTCGACGGCGTTTCGCTCGAGCTGCGCTTTGCCTTGGGCTTGCTAGTTCTCCGGCCAGGTGCGTTCCTTGGACGCCGGCCGGAGACCAGGCGTTGGCGTTCGGGGACCGTGGTCAGGGCAATCGGTGGCTCTCGTGCTATAGTGGCCGTCGGTGCTGGTGCTGGGCCTGGGCGGCACGGCACGACAGCTGGTGGGAGGCTATGCGGGGGCGCCGGCGGCCAGAAAGCCAGGCGCGCGCCAACTGCGGTAGGAGAAGGGGCATGCCGGTGGCCGGCATCGGCTGCAACCATGCGGAGGCAGTAGTACAATCTACGATCTTGGCTTTGGCGACTTGGTCAGGTGGGGCGCGAGGGTGCTTGGGTGGGTGGAGAATTGGGAAGAGTCTCGCGTTCAATCTCTTCTGGTTCGAACGGACTTGGGATGATTCTCGCGTTCTTGTTCTGGGCGAGGGGCCTTACTGCTCCTGTCTGAGACAAGGTTCTTCTTGTGATTTGGGTTCAGGGGGGAATTGATGACAGGAGAAGAAGGTAGAGGCTGAGCTGAGGTGAGACAGGCTTTGGCATTAGGTGCAGGCAGTTGCTAGCTGAGCCGTTCCTCTGTGTTTTCTGGGCAGCCGCTGTGGAGGCCAGGTACGTCGCTGGCGGCGAGGGTGCACTGGCACTTGAAGCGGCTCAACAAGCCAAGCCGGCCCTTCTTGAATTCAATTTTGACATCTTATTTCATTGTGGCCACTGAACTTTTGTGTTCATGCACTTCAGCAGATGGGCCAGCACGGAGAATGGTGATTTCTTTGGCGTGAACTGCTTCTTTATTTTGGGCCTTGTTCTTGGGATTGGGGTTAATTATCATCTTTCTTCCTGTTGATTTGGTATATACTACTGTACTGTAGCTGCGTTTTCTAGAATTTGACCAAGCTTGGGTAGAAGCTGTATTTTCCAAATTCAGAAAAGATTGCCTTTTCTCTTTTTCTTTTGGTTTTTTATTCGTGGTGCTATTTTCCATTGCTACTCTGCTTCTGTTTTCTAAATGTCAGCGTTTGGTGATGGAGTAGGCAAATTCAAGCAAAGTGGAGCAGGAAGATGAGATTTGCATCCATCCGGACTGTTTTTTGCCAAAATAGCCTCCAGTTGAAAAAGAGCAAAACCTTCTGTTTCTTTGTTAACATTTCACCACCTACCGAAATGAGCAGCTTTTCAGTGCAAAAGATGAGTATATAGTTCAACAATGTCTTGCTGCATGCCATCTTACGTTGCATTTTTATTGGAAGATGCAAGTTTGAGATTTAAGTTCTGCACACTGGCAAGAACAGTGCATTTTCTTTTTCGGACTCAGATATGCTGTAACATGTTTTTTCTTCTCATTACTGTATGTTTACAAAATGCGCAGAGTCCAGATGGAGGCATCATCGATTGCGTGCACATATCACAACAACCTGCCTTTGTTCATCGTCCCCTCAAGAAACATGCTCTTCAGGTACAGAATCCTCCACTTTCCACTTCAGGTACAGATGGTAGTAATGGGATGTGGCCAATTTGCAAAGTAGGAATCTGAGGACATTTTACATCTTTTATTCCGAAGTAATCCAGCCAAGGAAATTTGGCTGAAATTGTGATTGAGCAACTTCATATATGAGGCGAGGAATGTTCATCATTCGGGCTCTGTGGTGGCTGAACACATACTCCGGCTAGCTAGCTGCTAGTCAGATGCCTGGTACTGGCTCATCCGGACTTGTGCTTGCAGGAAGCTATACTCACAGCTTGTTGGTATTGCCGATTAACAACGGTGCTATGTCTATATTGGCCATTACTTTGAATTATACAAAAGCTTCTTCAAAGATGATCATGTTTGTGAGGGAGAAATGGTCTAAGATGGTTTTGAGCTTCGTTAAACTGAATGGCTTCGTATCGCCCAGAGGAAGGAAGGAGAGCTATTGATGCAGTAACCCATCATGCCTCGGGTAATTTTCTGGCAGCCCGAACCATATATGTACCTCATGCAGCTTCCACGGTGATCATGGAGGCATTTGCCCCAAGACATCGCTTGTCGTTGCCGAACGAGATTGGATGTAATCGTCTCCAAGCGGAATCTGATTGTCTTGAAGTTATTGAAGCATGCTCAAGGCAGTAGCAATGGTATGATGAGGCAGCCTTTATTTACGACTCTTGCATCGATATTGCTCGGGACATTGGAACGGTAAGTTTTTTTACGCACTGTCACTGGGAAGCATCAATTCAAGCATTTCATGACGAAATTTTTTGGAGCATTAATTTGGGTTTTTTTGCCACAACTTTCACGAATGTCATTACATGATGAAATTGTGCAAGCATTGAAAACATTTCCCAAAGTTTGTCACAGAAGTTAAAAAAAATGTCAATTGTTATTAAAAAAACCGGATTAAAAAAATGTGGCAGCTTTCGCGATGACTTTCTCTTCCTGTCGCCACTTCTGCAATTTGCAAACTTTCTTCTCCATGTTGCCAAATTCCCGCTCCCCCTAGGAATCGAGATGAGTCTGAACCTCGGCGAGGGTATCGACAACACCATGTAAGCCTCTTTGCCTAGCTCCCAATTGCCACATCGCCTGAACCTTCTAGTAATCCACATGGGTACAACAATAACAACAACAACAACAACAACAACAAAGCCTTTAGTCCCAAGCAAGTTGGGGTAGGCTAGAGGTGAAACCCATAAGATCTCGCAACCAACTCATGGCTCTGGCACATGGATAGCAAGCTTCCACGCACCCCTGTCCATAGCTAGCTCTTTGTCGATACTCCAATCCTTCAGGTCTCTCTTAACGGACTCCTCCCATGTCAAAATATTTTCATATCCGCTATGCATGCGACCAGCCGACCATCATAGTGGATCTCAATTCCGTGAGTACAAAGCAATATTCAGTTTCCACAGTCCTAATATGCTTCATGGTAGTAAACTCGAGCATGCCTAGGAAATCAAAGTTAACTAGAGGACGATCTAGTCTAGCTTTAACATTCACGTGAATCCCCTTGCTGTTTTGTTATCCCATGTGAAAGGGACTCTGCGCCGCCCCAGATCCTAGAGTGCACAATCTGCCACTGCTGCCCCAAATGTCCGCATCTGTCCCTTAGGTATTGCATTGGCTGCAAAGCGCTCTTCGGCATGCAGCCTCATTGAAATCTCCCATGGACGCAAGAAACACCAACTGTGGTGTCTATTTTCCACCCTTGGCTCTTTGTAAAAACCTGTGAAACGCCAACTCTTATTACTTTGATTGACTTTCACATCGATATGAGACAAACTATAGTTTTCGAACGATACATCAACATATTTTGACTAGAAAAGACCAATACCTCCACTAAGCCCTTCGCTATTGACGGCAAAACAACTAGAAAAACCCCACCGGATACAATTACTATCTCTCTTTTTGATACAATTACTATCCACCTGCGGAGAGGTTTAGAGTTTAGACACATCAGTGATAACTCTTGCTCTAAAAAAAAACCCCACCGACGATGGATGCATGCTTGTCGATCTATTGGGCTATTGCCAAACCCCATGTGTTGTTCCTCAGATTGTACAATAGATTAACTACCCTCACCCAGACTGGCAGCCTGTCGAACTTGAGTTCTGATGGCTTCATGTGTGCTTCGAAATCCTCCAAGATCACCACATGTTTACTAATGTGCCAAAGTGCCCCTTCCCAAACACGATCTCGGGCTCGCTTCAATTCAAAGTCGGCCGCAAACAAGTTCTCTCCCAGTGGGCGAAAATTCAAGCCCCTAGGGTTGCCCCATGCTGGACGGAGGGCGTTGCATGTTGTTTGGATGTGAAGAAGATTGCGGTACATAACCTTCCCCGCCAGCAGCCACTTCGTAGGTGCGTCGTCGTCAATCACGAGAGGCGTCGTCTCCTCCTCGGAGATGTCCAACTTTCCCAGTGACTCCTCCATCTGAACTTGCGCAGAACGAGGTGAGAGAGCGCCGCTGTGCTTCCATCCTTTGCCGGCTGATGATGTTGCCATCATGCCCGTGCTCGCTGGTGTGTCCTGCCGATGAGTTCAGCGGCGCTGTCAAGTCCACCTAACCCTAATCGCCGCCAGAGGGTATTAGGTTTTTGGGGACGTTCCATGCAATAGAGCTCACTGGGGAAATGGTAGGTCAAGCAAGGACAAGTCCCTCGCTTATTATTGACAAAATAATTAAACATGGCAAATATCCTTACAAAGAGTCCGGCAACGGAAGCATGAAAACAAACAAATGGAAATGAATAGTCTCAACAGGAACAAGTAAAAGGTGCGGAAGCATGCACCGAAAGAGCGAACTGTGAGCGCACCCTGCTTTGTAGTACGTAGGAGTAGATCGAGTGCATCGAGCCTCCCTTAGATAATGCGAAGCTCCGGGATTTTGCTTACCTTCTGACGCCACTCATCCTTCTTCTTCCACCGCGCACTGAACTCGGGGTGCAGGCCAACCATCCAAAGCTTCTTGAGGGAGTCAAGGGACTCGATGCCATCAGGAATTATCCCCAGCTTCGGCATCGACCTAAGATACAACGCTCGGATCGTCGGAATGGCGCCAGCTTCTATCGTTAGCTTGACGACGTCATGCATATCCTGCAGCGAAAGCGTCTTGAGGAGCGGGAAAACGGCTGCAGGGATAACCAAATGCTTCGCGCTGTTCACCCTGTTGAGATTCAGGTGAGTGAGGTTTTGCAGGTAAGATGAAAGTTCCTTGAGTGTATCTTCCCCGAGGTTGCACCAACTCATGTCCAGGTACTTGAGGTTCCCTCCGTGATCCTTGAATATGGGGCAGTCCAGAGTCGCGGTGGCCCAGAGCCCCTTCACGATCAGCCTCTGGAGCTTGCTGGACGTTGGCTGGAGAGCTTCGAAGGAGAGCTCCTCGTCTTGGCCACTCGCGGCGAGCGACAGGCTCGAGAGAAGAGGCAGCCTGGACACCGCAGCGAACAGTTCCGCGCACTGGTTCGCGCTGATGTTGTCGATCCACAGGCTCTCCAGTCTCATCAGCTTCTCGAGTTGCTCTGCTAAGTCATTGCTTGCTTCGACTGTCTCGAGAGTCTGCAGCTGCTCCAGGTTTGATAGAGCTCTTGGTGCAGCCACTCCCAGGCACGTGAACTCCAGATCCTTGTCGTCGTCAGAACGGTCGGCTAGCAGGTGCCTTAGGTTCTTCACCTTGGCGACCCCTCGTGGCAGCCTTTCTATGCCAGTTGATTTCACATCCAGGGTCTGCAGATTCAGCAGCTTCTCAATAGAATCTGGTAGCATCTTGATTGCAGTCCCTCTTAAGCCGATGTATCGCAGATTGAATAGGTCCCCAATGGACGGTGGCACCAGAGTGATATTGGAATCCTGCAGCTCGAGAACAGTTATGAACTTGGACTTGAGCAGAACTGGCCATATTGCGTCCGGGGACGATGCAGGGCTTCTTCCATGTGCTATCAGGGTGCGGAGATGCGGCAGCCCCTTCTTCTGATTGATATACGTGTCTCCACTCATGGACAGGCGACGAACTATCTCAGTATCCATTGTTGAGATGGCTTCAGAGGAGTTATTTGTTGCGCCGAACCTCACGTTCCTGGCAATGGAAAGAGCCAGGTCGCGCACTATGTCGTGCATCTTGCATGTGTTCACCCTGCCTAGCTCATCCGTCTCCACGAGCTGCAGCATGTTCCTCCGTATCAGCTCCTCCAGGTACCCCTCAGCCACCTCTTCTGCCGTGCTCTGGTCTTCTCTCACGGCGAATCCTTCTGCAACCCACAGCAGGACAAGGCTTCTCCGTGCCAGATACCAATTCTGCGGGAACATACTGCAGTACAGGAAGCAGTTTCGGAGCTCGGGAGGCAGGTCGCGGTAGCTCAGGTTTATAATCCCTCGCACATCATCGTTCTTGGCCAGATGGTATCGAAGCTGGTTATAAACCTGCGTCCACACAGGCTTTATCTGCTTCCTCGAAGACAGCAGGATGCCGATGGACACGATCGCCAGTGGCAGGCCTTGGCATCTCATGACAATATTTTCCGCGAGCTCCTTGAGATGGTCGGGGCACTTGTGGTCTCTGTTCTTGGCAAATGCCCTCTTTCTGAAGAGCTCAGATGCATCACTGCTTTCCAGGGGTTGCAGTTTAAGCCGGCGAGCTGGATTAGCAAGAGAGGCCACATCATCGGACCTTGTCGTGATCACAACACGGCTTGTTTCAAGATCTTTGAATGCGTCCTGTATGTCCAGAAACACACGTTGGTCCCATACATCATCCAGTACTAGGATGGTATTGTGTTCCTTGAGCTTCTTGTTCAGTACTGCTCTCAGATCTTGGATGTTCTTGTCATTCCCCAGCTGCTCTTGCTTATCCTCACCAACACTCCGAATCAGTGTCCTCAGCAGAGCGTCCGGCGCGTATGTCTTGGACACAGCAATCCATGCATGGGCCTGAAACTCGCTCTTGGCCCGCTCATACACATTTGCGACGAGGGTGGTCTTTCCCAGTCCTCCCATACCGCACACTGTTATCACTGTTCCATCTGGTTCTGCCGACTGCAGCCACTGTGTCAGCGGGACCTTGTATGGTTGCATCCCCACCAGATCTTCATCATTTACAAACTGCGGGAACCGGACTTGAGGCAACAGTTCATCTTGGGGGGCTTGCATCTGTTGTTGAGTCAGGTCAACATGCACATACCGTTCTCTCAGGGCCGTAACATGCTGAATGTCTTCATCTATCTGGATTATGTCAGATGCCATTGCACTGAAAAGCTTGCTGAAGTATATCTTCTTGGCCTGTCTCATCATGAAGGACTCTCCCTCGAGCTCAAGAGCATGATGGGTGAAGTTGTCCATGACATCCTCCACACGGTACGCCAGCTTCCTCACGTCCACTATCCATTCCTTGAGGAGCTCGTTCGTGTCGGCCGTGTCAATGTGCCGTACGACTGCATTCATCATCCTCAGTTCCCGCTCAATTTTCCCGACCTTACTTGGAAGGTCCCTCAGCTTTCTTATTTCTTCAGTTAGCTTGTAACCGGCTTGTTCGGCTAAGTAGTAACTCACTTTCGTGAGCGCGAGAAGGAGTGACTCCGCCATTTTGTTTTCTGTTGATAGACAAAGAAAAAAAAAGTGGCAACTTTTAGTTTTTGTCAGATAAAATGTGATAGATGCATATAAGCATGCATGTCATTAATCATTAGTATATCATGTATGATGAACTGATGATCGAATAATCCAACAGCCACAAAATACACCTTTTTTTAGATAAAACACAAAATACACCTTCACAGTTATGCTGAGGAAAATGTTGGGTGAGAGGCGATTAGGGCTCATGTGCGGCTCCTGCATGTGCGTGCGTGTACATCCCAATAGATCTCGTTGGCGCTAGTGCGGGCTGGACGTGCGGGCTTGTGGGCTGAGCCCGGCTCAACCGAAAACGCTAGACTTACAAATAGGCTACGAAGAGGCTACATAAATTTTCATACTTAATTAATCTGCCCCCTGTTACAAGCTGCGGCCTATGTGGTTCAGATGATTCCTGGCAACATTCACTTTTACATTGCAACATGGCTAGATGTGTGTGGGCTCTCCATGATCCTGACCTGGTGGAAGTGGTGGAAAATACAAGGGAGCCTGATGCCAAGAGGTGGATTTTCTCTATTCTGGACTCCCTCCCATATGATGATTTTATCGAAGTGCTAATCACCCTCTCGGCGATTTGGCATGCTCGACGTAACGCACCACACGAGCAGGAATTCCAAAGGCCTTTTGCTACATTTAATTTTGTGAACAAATACATTAGAGAGTTGGGTGAATGCAAACAAAAGAAGCAGCCGGTAGTGCCAGTACCTATTCCCTGGGCAAGAGCAAAGTGGATCCCGCCAGCTCAAGGGCTCGCCAACATTAGAGTGGATGGCGCCGTCTCTAAAGAAGCAAATGAGGGCACCTACAACGCCGTGTGTCGCGACGCTTCTGGCCACTATCTTGGAGCCTCGGTTGTCAGAACCTTGGGCATCACTGACCCAGCTACTCTCGAAGTGTTGGCTTGTTGGGAGGCACAAGCTATTGCGTTTGATCTCTCATTATCACATGTGGTGATTCCTTCGGATTGCTGGATTGTGGTGAATGATATACACAACGAAATAGGTGCTGCGTATGCTAGTATAGTGAAGGAAATTAGATCTAATGTTAGTCAGTTCAAGGAGTGCTCCTTCATCTTTGAAGGAAGAGACACAAATATCGAGGCACATAGTCTCGCTAAACATGCTTTTGGTTTGGACTTGGGTCGCCATGTTTGGCTTCTCAATCCTTCAGATCTCCATTGTATTCCCATGAACATTATTAATCAATAAAGTGTGTTTAGTTTAAACAAAATCCCCCCCCCCCCCCGGTTAAATTTAACCGGGCGGGGGCCCCTGCCTATTTCTTCTCCAATCAAGCATTTCCACCTGACCACTGTAATAAGAAAAAATAAGTAAGAGATGGCACTCCTCGCCGTCGAACGAGGAGATTGCATCGGATCAAGTTGAAGGCGAGGAATCCAGAGTTTCACCACGGTTTTGAGGGGCGTAAGGTGATTTTGGGCGTTTCGCCATTGATGACGGTCACCCGAACTTCATGGGGAAGGGGGTGCAATCGATTTGTTGCTGGAACGGGCCACAAGTACTGCGTCCAGGACCGTCCGTGTGGACTTTCGTCCAGGACCGAACCGCTCCTTGGAATGATGCAAATAATGATACACTATTGAAAAGATATCATCGAGGCACAACATTTTCATATAGAATTCACTCTAATTTCTTACGGTTGAAGGGCAGTTTTAAAATTACCGAAACACGAAACTCTATTTTTCAAATTTGCGATTTTTTGGTATGGTTTTTGCTGTAGTTTTTAAACTGTTTGTCGAAACGAGGCGTGTGATATGCCGTTGGAAAGTTATGGAAAAGTCAGAAATTTCATATGTTGAACTCTTTTTGAGATTCCTCGCAGTTCTAAATAAATTTTGAAAATGGAGCGGTATCCGATGAGTGACAGCTATCATCAAACCACTCATCAGAATGACGCAAATGATACGCCGTTGGAAAGATATCGACGAGGCACAACTTTTTAATCTAAAACACTCTCTCTAATCCTTACGTTTTAAGAGCAGTTTTGATTTTACCGGTATGCGGCCACCGTGTTTTTCGCAACACCAAAATCAATGAAGTGAACTCCATCAAACAGAAAACAACACTGCTTTCGGTGGAAAAGCGCACTGCATAGGGCAAGCGAACTGCATGATTTCTTTTATTTTTCTGATGAACAAGAGTGGACCTTAGAGACGAGGGCAAATGAACCACAACAATATCGAAAAGTGAACTGCAAACGCTATCGAAGTGAACCACATTATACTCTTGTGATTTAAGTTCGACATAAGTGAACCGCAACAGTATCATTTTACAAGTGAACCACATACTATTTTACACTGAACCGCATAGTATTTTACATTGAACCACAATCTCACACAAAACTGAACTGAACTCCATAATGAAGTGTGTATGACTTTACTTTGTCTTTTTTGTAACACTCTACTGCTACAAAAACATAGCGAACTGCACGGATAAAAGAAGTACGAACCGCAGAAACTAATGACATGGAATGTTTACAAAAACATATAGCATAACTAAAGAGACTCAAGGGGGAGTTCGCTGGAGATAAACCACCGGCCACTACAAAATGAACCACATCTTACATTTTTCGATCTCACGAAATGTCAACAAAGTGAACTGCACATGTTCTTTTGAAAATGTTTTTCACAAATATCTTTTTAACTTTTCGCCAAATTACTTCCTTTTTCCATAAAGAAAACAATTGCGTTACTTCCATTTTTTCTATAAAGCATTTTTTCTATAAAGCAAACTAAAAACTTGCAAAAAACATGAAACTATATGGATGGGCGCACCACGACCGGATCAAGCACACATAGGATCCAACAGCCATAGTCGTGATGTGCCTCACCTTTTGCCTTCATGGTTGTTTCTTGTTGGACTCTAGGAATTTTACAACACAAAACAAAATGCATCGGGTCCCAACAGGGACTGCATGCATGAGCCACTCGCCGACGAACTGCATCTCATTGGACGGAGCGACCCAGCCTCCTCATGCTCGCCATCACATGCGATGGCAGCTTCCTTTGTAGTAGAGAGGCCATGACTGGGGGTAGCCAGGGGTGCCATCGCCGGCATGAAGAAGGATGCGCCAGAGCATGAGGGGAAGTAGGGATGCATCATGCTTCGGGGACGAGATTGTGCTGGCCGCATCGGGGTACTGAACTGCACGATGCAGTGCAAAAAATGCAGTGAACTGCACGGACGCGCCGGAGAGGTGTAGCCCGTGTCTCTAAAAGAACTGCACTCCCTTTCTCTAAAAAACGAAGAAAATTGCATGCGACGGAAGGCCGAACTGAATGCATGAGAGCTCGCCGGAGGGGAGGGGAGGCAGGATAGCTCACTCGAGGGATGGGGATCCCTGGCCGTGGAGCCAGCAGACCGGGCGGTAGCGTGACGTGGAGCTCACGTTGATGCAGCAAGGGAGCTGGATCCGAGGCGATGGGGGCAGGAGCTCATATAAGCAACGCGTGGCAACCAGGTCGACCGTGCCCCGATGGTCGTCGGCACTTTACCCCGGTGGGATGGAAGGGAGCAGCAGGGGAGCAGGAACCCTCTGTTTGCATAGGCTGATGCATTTCATAGACAACCGAGGGAAGATGGGGGCCCATTGCCGCACCGATAGTCGTTGCAGCCGATTCTGGTGGTTTAAGGCCGCGTCGGGGGCCGGTGGCGGCCGGCTCAGGCGGTTGAGGCGGCTCTAGGGCCTGGGGATGGTGGCGGCCGGATTCGGTGGGTGAGGCTGCATCGGGGGCCAGTGGCGGCCGGATCCAGTGGTTGAGGCCGCACCGGG